ATAAAAATAATGAATTAATTTCAAATGCTGATGATCATATTAAACAACAAACTTTAGTCTTACGAAGTCTTAGAAAACAAATGCAAATTGTAGTTGAAACAACTAAATCTTCATCTAAAAATAAACATGATGATAGTGATTAATAATAGGTATAGAAAAAAAAACATTGAATTTTATTTCATTATCTTATTAACTTGAAAATATTCTGAATACTAATTTCTTTATTTGATTTATTCTCTGAACAATTTTTCTAATAAATTTATTTCTATTATTCTGTTTTCTGTAAGAAAGGGTTATAACGTCATAAATCTGGTTGTTCAAATGCAAAAAGTTTGCTTGCTTGTTTGCATAATCCAAACAGATTGCAGCATTTTATAAATCAATGAAAACCTAACCGTACTTATTAGAAAACAATTGATGGAAGGTAATTGGGATCGAGGATTTAGAATCTGATGTTAGTTTCTTAAAATTCTAATAAGCTAATTAGCTAATCGACTAATTAAGTAAGGGTTGACCGAAAGGTAATCGAGGTCGAAGAACTCGAATATGGCGTTAGTTTTTTCGTGTTAGTGATCTGAACGCTACTGCTGGATGTGATGTGGACCAATAGAGTAGTTTAGGAGTTTATAGAAGAAGATTTAATATACCATACATCATGATATTTCTAGTTCAAGAAATCATAAAAATTGGTATAAGCTTAATATCATTTGTGTCTTCTAGGCTGCGATACGTGAAGTCTTCCAATAGGAATTTAGTGAAAATATGTGCCAGAGTGATATACCCGTTGGTGCAATTCCAGCTTATTAACTACAGAGACATGGCCTATACAAATAGTATTCTAAACATAGGGTGCACTATGATGTGTGTTCTTTTCACAGCAAATCATAAAATAAAACTTTTATTCCCTCTACTGAAAGGAGGGTATACGCAGAATTTGAGTTAAAGTTCGTTCGTCCGTTTGTCCGTTTGTCCGTTCGTCCGTTCGTCCGTTCGTTTTATTTCGTTCACATAGTATATACATGAAACACAGATGACCATCTTAAGGGTTGACCGAAGGGTAATCGGGGTCGAGGATCTCGAATCTGATATTAGTTTCTCGAAATTCCAATTAGCTCATTAGCTAATTAAGCGATGAAAATTTTCTATGCTGTCGATTAAGGGTCTACGGAAGGGTAACCGAGATCGGAGATCCCGAATCTGCTGTTAGGTTTTCTTTATTCGTTGAAGTGCGGCTTCTTCGTTTTTCCTTTCAAAACAGATATGTTTTTGAATCTTTTCTAAATTCTTATGTAGGAGATAGTAGGTTAAGCATCATGGCTGGGTATGATGGAATGCAACCGAGAATGTCCTTTGTTTTTCGTCTTTTTGCATGAGTATATCAGGAGAACGAAAAAGAAAAGCACTTTTCGTCCGAGCACATTGGAAAAGGATACTCTTTGCTTGTCACCATATAAGACAGACACGTGCAAGGCACCAGCTTTTTGATCCAAGTCAAGTCATACCTCAAGCCGAGTCACAAATAACTTGACTTCACCTGATTTAACTTGAAATGAAGTCGAAGATGGACTTGACTTGGTTTGAGTCAAGACGAAAATCGAGCTGACTTCCCATATTTGGCGTCAGTTCACTACATAAGTTCTTCTATGGTTCTTAATAAAAATTTTTTGATACTTTTAGACCTAAAACTTATACTAAACTGCATAAAACACTTAGATATATTTATACAGTTTTGGACTTGACTTGCTCATGTCTGCCATAAGATGTGTGCAAAGATAGTTGTTTAGACGATTGCACCAAAAGACTTTAGTCTATCTCACATGATGATATTTGCAATTTAAGATATCAGAAGAAATAGTATGAAGTTAATATAGTTTTTTTCACGCTGCGACACATGTCGTCTCTCGACAGAATTTTAGCGGAAGTAAGTCTCCAAAAGTATGGCTGTCAGTGTAGTTCTATATTACTACCTACAGGGACAACGACTAGATAAATACTAATTTGAGCATATCAGGCACTATGATGGATGCTCTTTAAAAGCCAAATCGTAAGATAAAAGTATCTTTCTAGTTTCTTTTGATAATCAAATGCATGGCGAGTCTCTAACTTAGAAGCGAGAATGACGGGAAACGTAGTCAGTCAATTCGAAAATTAATCAAAAGTCAAAGGCATAGTAGGGATAATCATGGGAACGGCTAGCCGTGAGTGGCCGACCGGAGGGAGGCCGACGAACGACTAGACGTTTATTTAAGAAGCTTAGAGAAGATAAAATAACCGAAGGGTCTGGTTCACTTGACCGACAACGCATTTCCTCGACAGTCTTGAAGTCGAAACAATTGATTGAACAATCGTTAACACAAAGAATGAGGGCCCGGAGAAGGTGAAGATTAGAGAGTCTGTCGAGCAGATGGATAAGTGAAGATCACGCAGCTACTACCTATTACAAATCGAAAAGTTGCCTTTTATAGGCGACGACATGCAGTAACAGACAGACAAAGAGATTCACATGATACTGCTCGCAACAACAACATAAACCTTGAACAGTGAGAGAGAGATCCAGAGGAGACACAAGATCATTACAGACAGAGAAAAGGTAAGACAATATCATCAGGAATAATCACTGAGCAATGAGACACGTGATGATAACTAAATGCAGAGAAAATGTTTGAGTTCATCACCCTCGCCCTCGTCCACACCCTGTCGGATCTGAAACATGGATTTCCTGGATTTTCTAAGGGTCATCATAGAACATAGCTAAAAAGATCGCTCATAAAATTTGCGACAACGTAGGGGATTTTTCTAGCCGGATTACAATGCAATTCCGTTTCCAGGAATCCGATCGGATTTTGTCGGATGATCGGATTCGGCATCGGATTTGTTGAACTGGGTTATGATGGGTGCTCGTTTCACAGCAGATCATAAAATAAAACTTTTTGTCTATTTTTTTTTGGCAATCAAATGAATAGAAGATCACCCACTCGAAAGCACCAACAAAACGAAACGTAGCTATTCACTTTTAAAGTCAACCAAAAGTGAATAGTACAGCGGAGGTAGATATAGGAGAGGCTAGCCGTTCCTCTTAAGAGATATTTAAAAGTTGAGTTTTATAAGAGTCTAGGCAGTGTCGATCATTTTTTGAAAGAACATAAATCCTGTCTTTTCGAGGTTTGAGAAAAAGCAATGTGAATTACCAGCTCCCTTAATTTAAGAAAACAGTAAAATATCTACGATGGATCACACAGTTATGAAAATTTTTCATAACTTCGATTGCAGACCAACTCAGTATGAATCGGACAGTTTTTCTAGGAAAATATGAGAAAAATTTAGTATTTACTAACGGGTAGTCGCGAGTGGCTGACCAGAGCGAGGCCGACGAACGACTAGGCATTAGTCTGAGAAACTTTTGAGGTATCAAATGAATATGAGTGAAAGTCTGAAGCAAATTATCGAATAACTGCGCTATCGAAATAAAATAGATTTTATTCGTTTGGGCAAAAAGTTCTGCAACCATTTCACCCTCG